GGCTTGCGTCCCCCCCCCCCTCTCTACACAGTATCTTTCAACAGTTTCGTTGTTATTATTGATGTTTGTTCCTAACACACTCTATTTGATCCGACATTTTTGTAACGCAAAAATATCTCCTCATATTGACTTTGTTCCCAACATCAGTTGCTTAATTTATAACAGCATATAGGTATTTATATCTTTTTGTATTTTCCTCTCTCTCTCTGTCTAATTGTAATGCATTTTTGGCTTACTCTGTTTTTTAATTTTCCTTTCATTCAAATTAAACATTTTTACTCGTTTTCTTTATTGTCATCATTGCGGAGAACTATTTCGTTCAATTTAGCAGGTATCGCATCGTCTACTTAAACGTTGTTGGCCATATTTTGTCATTAATTTCGATTTTTGTTCTAATTTGCGTTTTTAACTTTACTTGCGTGCGTTTCTTTAAGTTTTGGTCTTCCGTTACGGTTGATCCTTGCGCTTAAACTTTTATTTTTTATCCCATTGTATTTTCTGAAGAGGACTCAAATTGGGTCGAAACGTAAACTGATATAATCGATATTGTAGTCTTTGTTATATTGTAATATATTGATTGCACTTTTACACCTGTGCCTGGCTCTTAAATGCTCTTTCCTTTTATCTTATTTTTTTTATAATCTATATAACCACGTATATGTAAGTACTTATTGTTAACGTTTATTTTACGTTAAAATTTCAGGAAATACTGGGAATTAACTTCGGTGAAGTATTCAAAAATAATGTTTCTCACGATATTTCTATTCTGTCTGATCGGCGTCCCTTTCATACAATGCAAGCAGGTAATTTTAATTTATAGATTAATCCACGCATAAATATAAAATTGGAAACAAATACTGAACATTTAATCCTTCATCAGATGTTTGAACTATAAATGTAATTTAAAAACTTCTACATATCAGACTAGTAAAAAATGTCTCGTTTTTTTTTTGTAAAGTACATGGAGAAAATATAGTAATAATTATGTTAAAATCATATTTCATTTTACAATGCTTTTTGCAGAGTTGAACTATACTAACCTTGTCCCAACAAACATGATGGCGTCAAATGACCTTTTAATGACGTGTTAATGACATTTCTAACGTCCATAACACGTCATTAATATTACATTTGACGTCATCCTGCTACTTACAGTAGTATAAATGAAATTAATACTATAAAAGTAGTATAAATATTATAGAAATAGTAAGTTGACGATTTACTCGGTAAAAATATCAAACAGCAATAACATTCCATGTTATAATTTTCGATGTTATAATTTTCTATTCAGCGTAATGTCACATATAACACATGTTATATTAGACTTGCATTGCTAAGTGAAAAATTATAGGATTAATATAATGTTATCTTTCGTTGATATTTATTGAATATCAAATATACAACATAAAATCATGCATATAATTATAATAATTTTGTAGTAAAAAGTCAAACGTACATAACGTTTTTAAACAAATACTTTCAATACAAAACATAATACTTTCGATCGGATTGGGATTATCGATATAAATCGATCTGTCCCGAAAGGGTGGGCACTACAATATCTTGGCATAATATATATCAGCAGTAATAAACTTGGCGCCTAAAGTAGAGCAAAAAACGTACGCATCTATTAAAGGGTTAAAGTCGATATTTTTATTTTATATTTTTCTTTTGTATATATATTTTATTTTATTTATAAGTTTCTCATTTTGGCTCATTTTTTTTCACGTTTGAACGCATTTTCAGTTGCACGAATATATGACGACGGACGAAGTAATGTCCGTATTTCACACGCCACATGATCTTGGTAAGTTGAATTTTCGTTCAAAAAAAGATTTGTTTGCACACGTATGTAGTGCGTTCCTAAATTATATAAAAAATACATACATAATATATTTTTGTTAACTTTAATATTATGATTTATAACATCAGCTAAAAAATTGACTTTTAGTACCCGAATATGAGATAGTGCCAGTAAAACATCGTCTAGCGAAAAACAGCGATTCGGAAGAAGGGTCCGAGATAACACTGGCAGCATTCAGAGAAAATCTCGAGATGTATTTACATCCCACAGAAGGTATGCTTGCCAGTAACAATACACCTGTATGGACTGTCACGTCTGATCCAAAATCACCCGAAGGAATGCGATACGATCAAATACGTGGGGTAAGTTTAATTCGCGATGAAACGAAATACAGACATTCTCAACATAAAACAATATCATGCAAAATGTTATCATTATTCACAAAATCGCGATTGTTTACGACTGAATTCTTTTTAAATTCTCTGTGCTATCTGGGTTATTATGAGTGACGGATCAACGTTTCCCTCTATTTTGTATTCAAGATTTCATACAAAAGAAACTAAAAGCACTCAAAGAAAAAAATTCTGTTAGCATTTTTTTTATCCCACATTGTAAGCAACCCGCAATAATTTTAATATTAATAAATTATTTTAACTCATATAAAAAAGTTAATAAATTAAAGTTACAATAATTAAGTACATTTTTAATTGACTAGTTTAAGTTAAAAATAATTAACTTTCTAACTTAACTTTTAACTGATTTACTAGCCATTACTCAACCCTAAATACTTACATCTTTATAAATCACATGAAAAGTTGTTTCTTCACTTTTTGTTGCAGGCTACGAAATTATTAGGAGTAGCGTACCAAGACGTAGACGGAGCAAGTGCAGTTTTAGTATCTCCCACTTCCAATGGTCAAGTGCATATAGTAAGTAATAAATATTTTGAGACTTCGATCTTGAAATAACTATAAAAATCCGACCACAATGTTAATAACAATATTTGTATAAAAAAAGCGTAAATAATAGTTTTCGTTTTTTCATACGTACACATACGTGTTCGCGCTTATATGGACTCAAATGAATGAGAGGAACTAAATATTCAAAATATTTTTATGCAATTTATGTATACAAGTATACATTTATGTATACATTTATGTATACAAGTATTTCATGTTGAATTTTGCAAATTAAAAATTGCAAACATTTCAGAACGGAGTAATTAAAAATTCTTACGTTATAAAATCCTTGCCACAACGGTTCTTGAAAGAGGTCGCGTATGGTGGACATAAGCTTCTCGAGCCGCATCACACTAAAAATATAACGAAAGAAGACGATTTCGCTTACACGCATCATCACGTAGTGTACAAAATACCACCGTTGAAGGGAGATCAATACAAAGATTTCAGTACGTTATACAAATGCTTACATATATATAGAACTTTAGAATCTCTCCGGTAAAGAACCATTACGTATAATTATGTGTGAATTGTATGCGATCATTGTCCAATCTACTTTCGTCAGACACGCTGTATATAATTTATATATACTTATATATAAATATTTTATATATAATTATATGAAAATATATATTTTATATATACTTTTATATAATTGTATATATTTCTATTTTTGTACGAGTGTTCTTCTATGAATGTTTGCTGTTGACCGTTTGCCGCGCGAATTCGCGCATTATGAACTACGATAAAATAATATATTGATTTTTTAGGTATATCGGATCCTGATGATGGAATAAAACATGATGCACCAGAGATTATTTATCCCGAGGTACTGGTAATAGTTGATCATAAGTTGTACAAGTAAGTATTTAAATACAATAATAAGATTGAATAACTTACTAAGTTCAATGTAATAATTTTGTTAGTAATATTTATTAGCTATTTTACTGGGTCAATGAAATTTTATTTGAAAATTGTCTAGTTAATATTAACTAACAGTAAGATCATACCAATGTTACAATCTCCCACTCAACAACTACTACATATATTATATATTGCAGTTACATTGTTGAGCAGAAAATAATAACGTTACTTTTAGTTATTGTTTACTTGAATTACTTAATTTATATTGTACACTATTATTTGTTTAAAAATATACGAAATAAACTCTTTTTAATAATAATTATCATCTGCTTGTCAGAATAATAAATCGTAAGTTTAAAAAAAAAATAAATTACTTCATTATAGAACTCTCGGCGAAAACATCCGTCGAGCCGTAAAATATATCATGGCATTTTGGAACGGCGTCGACTTGAGATATCGTTTATTAAATACTCCCAGGATATTATTCAATATCGCAGGTATCGTTATAGCTAAGGTATGCTTCTATTTATTTTACTATTATTTTGATTCACAAATATAAATTTATTTCTTCAATTCATGCATATATGCACGCGCGCGTCCGCATATACCGGTATTATATAAAAGTTTAGTGTTATAAAATATCAATATGTACAATGCTGCTATAACTTTGTTAGTAAAATAATTTACATATTTAGTACCTGTTATCAATATAATAGTGTAATAAAGTAAAACTTGATATATTATTTTTTACTACAGGATGACGATGCACTTCCATGTTTAGAGAAAAATCGCATCGAACTTTCAATGGTAGATTCAGATCGTGCTTTGCGTTGTACAGCGGATTATTTATATCGCGAAAACAGATTTCCGTACGATTTTTACGACATGGCTGTCGTCATGACGCGGTAAGCGTTCGTACCTTTTATTGTATTCCTTATTGTTTATTGTCTGTTGTCTGTTAATGTGCATAAAGATATATACAGGATATCTGATAATAAGTGGGAATTTACACATATAAATTAGGTCAAACTCAATACAAAAGATCTCTATCATTTCGCAAACAACTACATAAAATTTTAAGTTATTAGTTAAAGAAGACTGGCGAATAATTATGCGCGATGCGGTGCAGGGCGTAATATTAAGTAGGATTTCTGTTGTGTGCTTGTACATTAGGTTAAACTGAACAAAGATAAATTTTACGATTTTTTGCAAATAACCAATAAATTATTAATTTATTAAATAATAAAAAATATTAAAATGAATGATTACACGCGATCGTTCGTTCTTCAACCTTCTTTAATGAAGACCTCTACGTGGTTAATTAAATAATGGGGTTCTGTTTTGTTTAATTTGTACACTCGTAGTCAGAAAGGTTGTCTGGTTTTTTTTATAAGTTTAAAAATATATCCTTCTTGTCCAATGAAACAGCTATTTTATTATAAAATAAATTCTCTCATTGGTCAAGAAAAATAGATTCCTAATCTTATAAAAAAAACCTGACAATCTTTCCTACACTCGATTGCTAAACGATTTGCATACTTATCAAATAAAATTGCAACAACTTAAGCTATCAGAATTGGAAGCTATTGCTGATATGCATGCGCAGTAATCGGTTATGACGAAATGGCAGTAAAAAATGTGGCATTTGTGAAATTTGGAAGAAAAAAATTATTTTTAATTAAAAGGACATTATTTTGAAAAAATTTTTATATATGTTACCACGATTACTATTTGAGTCAACAACGGTTTTTAATTCTAACAGGTTGAGTCGTCACAATTTTATTCGATAAAAAGTACTGATTGTGCATACAACGAAAATCTTACTTACACGCAAAAAAATGACTTAGTTATATCAGCTAAACTGCAGTAGCTGATTTAAACTTAATCAAAAGGCTAATCGTTTAGCTGCCACTGCTAAGAATTGGCTATGACAGCTAAAATGTATTTGCTATGAAATACAAATATATTAGGTAAAAATTATATTAGATTAAAAATGCATATTATTTCAAATAGTTAAGAAAATGGCAGTTATTCCTAAATATCTTATCGTATGCATATATTAAAGAAGTTTGCCGTACAGCTACAATCATTTGTTTCTAGCAGCCAATATTTCTCACTGTAGCGCCTAAGTTTAAACAGCGAATAAATTTAGCTTCGGTAGTATCGATATTAGCTGTCCCTATTTCAGTCACACATCTTATCTGTCACAGTTATTTTTTAGCTCTGGAAACTAGTTCTTTTTTTGCGTGTGTCATGTACAATTACTCACCAGTTTCCTTTAGCTAATAGCTCAAAATTTTATGTGGATGTTTGTAAAATAATAGATAAATTTTGTTTAATTTATCCTAATCTACATATACATGAGCGTTTTCTTATGTATCGGTATATATATTTATGTAACACAATTTTAATTTTAATCTATATATAATTTCAGATTGGACATGTGCAATTTCTTTAATGGTCCCTACTGCAACCCACATACTTTGGGTAAATTAATTGACACTCCGCAAATGATGTCGTCAAATGACATATTAATGCCATATTAATGACGTTAATATATTTAATTAATTATTATTAATATATCATTATTAATATATCATTTAACATCATGTTTGCTAAGGCACAATTGCACCCCACATTTCGCCTGTTCCAATAAGCGCTCCAGAGTCAATACAGTTATATATTTACTATATAATAATTATAAATTTCAGTATCACATTATAACGTGAAAGTTTGTCGCAATGTTATAATAATATTATCATTTTGCCCTTAAAAATACAAGTAATGATATAGAAGGTGTCTGATTCGTACCGAATCACTATATATATGACACTATACCATATACTATATAGGATGTCCCACAAATACTGTAAAAAAAACAAGAAATTTTTTCGACGTCATATTTTTAGGATTTCAAGGTCATTGTTATTTTTTAGATGAGACTACATATTTTTATCATCGCGATATGATAGAAGAAAAAAATAGAAGAACAAGAAAAATTTCTTATTTTTTATAGTATTTGTCTCCTCGAACTGAATAATATCCCTCTTTGGCATCCTCCTATCATAAAACATAAACGAGATGAGGTAATCAGGTTAGGTGGGACACCCTATATACGAGAGTCAATTACACTGTACTTAAGATATATCTTATTGAAAGTGCGAACGTAACACTATCTTTTAATTTTTTTAATTTCTAATAAAATGTGTTTTCTAAATTATATAGAAGCAACACTTAATATCAGCTGGAGCGTTTGTTGAATATATTTTTTGAAAAATTTATATTTTGGAATGAAACAACTTATAATTATAAATCCGCTATTCAGGTTATGCATATGTTGCTGGCGCGTGTGATAGAAACGCAACAAAACAATCGTCCGAGGCAGTGGGAATCGTCGAAGATAATGGTGGTTTTAGCGGTATTATTCCGACAGCTCACGAGATTGGTCACTTGTAAGTTTACAGATCTCAAGAAATAATAGGATATTTATTAGAGATATGTGAATCAAAGATTTTTTATGTCCAATCGATGAAATTTCACCCGAATCGTATTGAGTCGAATCGTTGGAAGAATTTTTAATTAACATAATCATTGAATTCAACATGAAAATAGTGACTTCAATATAAGAGAGATAACATTGATCATGTGATATCAATTCATTTTTAAGATAAGAGATGTATAATATATAGTCGGTAAACGTGTATGGAATACAGTTCCAGCCTTGAAAGCTGCTCAATGACACATATCGATCCGACAGTTGTCGGTAAGAGTTTATCTAGAACCCATTATCTTCTTTTAATATTTTTGAAGAAAATTTTAATATACAGCAAATTTTTCAAGTCATGCTAATTCCCGTAAGACTGGATGTTTTTAATAGTTCTTCGTTAATGCTAATGTGCGCGATCCGTATTCGAATCTTTTCGATTCGAAGTTTTCGAATTATTCGGATTCGAATCAATGAGATTCGAATTTTAATCAAATCGAATTTCACTTGATTCGATTCGAATTCGTATAGTTCGAACATCTCTAATATTTATGGAACATACTGTGTTGTTCGCATCATAAACAAAATATTAATTTATTGTATGAAAAATGAATTCACAATACAACCATAAGTCGTTCAATAATGATAAAAAAAATATAGGATAGGAGCTCGTCATGACGGTAACCCTAAAGGCGCTAGTGACTGTGAGCCGCATGACGGCTTCATAATGACTGACGGACTATTGCTGCATGAAAACGGATTCGAGTGGTCGCCATGCAGCATAAATGCCTTCTACACGTTTATTAAGTATGTATCATACGATTCGCAGTGAATTCGATATAATTTAACGCAAATCGGACTGTATTTTATACAGTCTTTCATATACGAAAAAAATAATACGGTTGGCTAACGTATAAATATAATCTAGTTGTGTCAGTCAGATTCACGAAAATACGAAACAACTAATTATATAGTTGCTGCAACTACAGAGCAATTGTTGAGTTATAATGACGATAATGTGGTTACTCCAACCAGAGTGTATCCATAATAAATGTCGCTCCAATCGATTATTAATTGTCACAACTAGATTACGCGCAACTATATTGATATAATTATGATATAATTAAATTATATCAACTATACACATTACAATCACACAAGGATAACAAGGATGATGCAACTATACTATTCACAACTAAATATTTTTGGTGCTGTAATCATATTTTCTTTCCGTGTAAATATTACAAAACACACGATTGGGTCTTCTCTTGATTGTAAGTCTACTGAATTGTTACGGTATTACTTTGATAGTATGATTCATCAAGCAAAAATTATCTTTAATAAGTTTTTCAGAACACATAAAAAAGACAAAAAAAGACGAATTAATAGAACAAAAAAAGTTGATAATCAGACACTTGAAAAATTTATCAAAAGAATGCCCCGAGTTTGCGCTTATGAAAGCTCTAAAAAGTTACTTCGAAGAATCGAAAATTAAAAAAAGATTTTATTTTTTTTAAACGACTCTTCTTTTAGTTTTAATGAAAAACAGTTATAATATTACATTTATAGATATATATAGAAAATATGTTCATATTTTACCTTATACAAAAACTCACGAGTAGAAAATGTATTGAAACTTTTGAACGATAGAGTGTGTATAATCTAAGAATAATTTCAGTGAGGACAGAGCCAAATGTCTTTATAATATGCCTGTATTGGGAAAACCAATAGCACGTGTTTTGCCCGGAAAATTATTGTCTTTAGACGAACAATGTTACAAAGTCTCTGGAACACCAGCATGTAATGTAAGTTTTATCACAAGCACATTATGTTGTCTGACTAAATATAAACGAAAAGACAAACTTCAACTAGAATCGTATGTCGTGATTTTTCTTCTTATTCGAAAAAATAAGTAACCGTACAAGTATGTGTATATATATATATTTATATATATATATATATATATATATATATATATATATATATATATATATATATATATATATATATATATATATATA